ACATCCTAATAGATTTATATATCATATATATTAGGACCTAAATGTATGGAAAAGATACAGTAAAAACACTGTGTGATAGGAATTTCTCAGTTCCACCATAATCTTCTTGACCACTGTGGTAATGCGGTCTGTCTGTCATTGGCCAAAAGTCACTACGCACAGACAGGGCGCATGTGACTGTCTGTATTACTCAGTGGGGGTGTGCCGAGAAGCACACACGGAAGGCTGTTTCTGCCACTCAGTGAACTTCCCCATTCAGGGCTATTTTCAAAGCCCTGAGAGTTTTAGTTCTAAGACGAGTCAGGATTGTGGAATTCGCCCTGGAAGTTTGGGATCCAAAGATCCATAATAAACTGTCGCTATGTTGAGATGAAGGCAGTCTTCACGGAAGCAGGACCCCAAGGCTTTTCTTCAACAAGAGTCTGGGTTTTGGGAGTTCCACAACATAGCCCACGTGTGGGGAATCTGGCTCTTGGCGTGGAAAGCATGCGTACCTGCTCAGAAGCAATCCAAGCCGCCAGCAGCGATCCTAATCTCTGCATACCAGCTCCCTCATGATGCAAGGGTACACTGGACGACCTGGCCTGCATGAACAACCTGGGTGTGAGTGTGCTTGTCAGAAGACCAGAAGGGCAGCCGGGAGTGCTGGGTACGGCAGCAGAAGCCACGGACGAAGGGAAAGGCATCCGGGAGGATGAGAGGCGACGGTGCGGCATCACTCCTTTGCAATGCTCTGCTGTTAGAGCTCAGTAAGAAGCAGCTTACGTCGCTGGCCACGCAGGCAGGGTGCCACTGGTGAAACCTATGTTTGGGCAGGCTTTGCATCGACTGGGCAGCTGGGTCTGCGGAACTAGGGTCTGGCCCACAAAGCCCCTTCCTGTCTCTGAGCTTTTGTTCTAGAAGTGGGTGTCCCACACTCTCAGCTATTTTTAAAAAATATATTTTGGCTTTTTGTTTGTTTTGGGTTTTGCACTTAAAAGCAATAATCATCAGCAGACTAAAGCCCCTGCTTAGGTAGATGCAGCAGCTGGGGTTCGATCCCCCACGTGCCATGCCGGCCCCGCTCCCAGGGCATGCTGAGACTGTGATTTAGACTGGGCATGGTGGTGCGCACCTGTAACCCAGCACTTGGGAGGCTGAAAACAGGAGACTCACTACAAGTCTGATCTGTGTTGAAGGCCCTGTAGACCCTGTATTAAATCCATAATAATAATAACAATCAGTAGGCTGGGCATGGTGGCGCGCACCTGTAATCCTAGTGCTCAGGAGGCTGAGGAAAGATTGCCACAAGTTTCAGGCCAACCTGGGCTACACAGTGAGTTCAAGGCCAGCCTGGACTACAGTAACGAGACCCTGTCTCAAAAACAAACAAATAAACAACACCAACCAAAAAAAAAAAAAAAAAAAAAACCCATACAAACCAACCAACCAATAATCAGCTTTACTTTTTTACTCATGTAGGATCAGGAGTAACAAGTCTAGGACCAGTGGCAGACATCCAGAAAAGCCGCAGGGGAGGCCAGCATCGCTGAGCTTTCTATAGTGTCCTCCTCAGACACCTGCCATCACACTCATGGTCACAGAGGGACCTTCCAGCACTCACTAGGTAGCAGATCTCATCCTACAAGGTGAGAAGCGGAGGGAAGGGCAACCAACAGAATATGAAGAGAAGAACCTGGGTGAGGGGCACCCTACTTCAGCAGAACCAAGAGGGTTTCTAACACACCCAGACAATGCCATCTGGCTGGGTTGTGGGACTTGGACTGTCCTGGTTTCAATAAAACATGTAAGAGACTTTAAAAAATAGCACATCATACTGCTCTGGCACAAAGGTGACTCTTTTGGTAGGGAGAAAATGAGAACAGATACTGGGCCGGCGACCAGAAGTGTGTGCTGACCGGGCCGGCCAGCAGACCACAAACAAAAAAGCCCACACAAAAACAGCCAACACGAAGGGGCATGATGCACTTGAATTAGTTGCTGGGAATAAGCAGGTACTAAGAAACACCATACTACCTGGCACACAACATGTTTCTAAATACGCCTTCGGTCAAGTAAATTATCCAGAAGGAAACAGCAAGAATGAATCCATGGCAAAAACAATGTGCAAACCTCCATGAAGCAGCACAGTCTTGAAAATGAACCAACAAGATTAATGAGCTGGGAACACTGCTCCTGATGGAAGACTGATCACTACAATCTGAAAATTCCACTGAGTGTTTTTCCGAGAGGGTCCCCATGCACACAGGCAAGCGAGGGGTGGCTGAAGGCATCCCCAGAAGGGACCGAACTGTACTGACAGCGCTTTCTCCTAATGGGTGCTCACAAGAACTGCAAAAACTGTGGGAAATAACTGCACAACAGCACATTATTCTCAGCAATGCTGACATTCTAGGTGCGTAATTCTTAGCTGGGGGGCTCCTCGGCATAGAGCCTGTCCCGCAGCAGCTGGGGGATGCCGGAACGCCCATCACTTTTCTTTACCGTGGCTGGAGGCCAGGGCCCAGGGCTAAAGGCTGCAGCGTGGGAGGCCCGCTTCCTGCCCTGACCTCAGTCAGGCCCAGCAGGCTTCTGTGCACTGAGACCCCCGGCCACAGCCTGCCTCACAGCGCAGGCTGTGCAGCTCCCACGATGACCGACGAGCTGGAGAAAATAACAGCTCCAGCTGCCTGCCTGCCCGCCGGCCACGAAGCCAGGACGAACACACACCCAGCTCTTCCTGAGGGTGAGGGCTCCGCGAGGAGCTGCACCGAGCGCAAGGGGGGCGCCCCGTGGGCTTCCAGGAAGGTGGCAGAGCGACAAGGGCCCGTGGATCAGGATTCTGCAGCTTCCGTAGCTCTGTGCCCACCTCCGTGGCCCAGGTCATGTGACGACACGGGCTCTTCACAGGCGCCTCGCGGGGCTGCACTGCTCCCAAGCAAGGCAGAGCGAGGCAGGGCAGCCCCTCCCTGGAGCAGGCAGCCGCCCTTGAGCCCCTCGGATCTGTCCTCTACGCAGAAGCAAGGAAGATCCTTTTAAGATACCAACGCGATCCTGCCACTCTGCAGACTTCTCACAGCTCAAGGGTGTTGCAAAGACCGACAGGCACCTCAGGGCCCGGCTCGGCGCCGTCTCAGCAGCTCACCCTCCAGCTGCTCCTCCTCTGGCTACGCGCCTTGCAGTCTCCGGGCCACGCTTCCTTTCGGTTCTGGACAGCTCTCTTTCCCTCTTTGTGTGGCTACTGCATAGGCATCCTGCAGAGCTTCCTGAAGAGCTCCCTGCGCGCTCACCGTGTGTGCGCGCGCGCGTGCGTGCATGCGTGCGTGCATGCGTGCGTGTGTGTGTGTGTGTCTCTCTCGCCCTCCCTCCTTCTCTCACCCCCACCTCGGTCAGCCTAGGTTCCATTTTAAATACTGGCTACGTGACATTTTTCTTCATTGCACTGACACATCTATATAGCTACACGATTGTGCAGTTGCTTCCGCTCCATGACACTGCGCACCTCATGAGGGCAGCTCACCTGCTTTACTGTTCATTGTCAGCTCTCAGTACAGAGACCAGCCTCAGTACAGTGACCAACATTACGTGCACAACTCATTTTCTCTCAATGGAAGAGGGGGTAAGAGAGAAGGGAAGGAAAGGAGGAGTGGAGGCCCCACGAGGGCCGGGAAGATGTCTGATCTCTTTTCTCTAATGAGAAAGCTGGACAGGTTGGGTGCCTCTTACCTGAAGAAGGTTTTTCTTTCTTTTTGGTGGAGCCAGGGCTTGAACTCAGGCCCTTGCGCCTGCCAGGCAGGCGTGTATTCCGCTGAGCCCTCCGGGCCCTGAGGGACTATTTTTAAAGATAGAAGCTAAGCACTAAAAGTTGTTGATAGGAAAGTGACGAGTTCAAATTGCACAATAGATGCGCGCGGGCCACCAGGGCAAAGGGGTCTGAGGCAAACATTGAAAATACAGCAAGGGCAGGCCAAAGAGCTCAGCGGATTAAAGCGCCTGCAAGCAGGCACAGAGGCAGGGTTCGAACCCCGGGCCTGCTGCCCCGCCCCGCCCCGCCCCGCCCCGGGCGCACCGAGACAGCCGCTGAGCCTGCGCGTGGAGGCGCGCGCCTGTGATCCCAGCTCTTGGGAGGCTGTAAACAGGAGGATCACTACAGTCCTATCTAGTAGTGAGACCCTGAACACCCTGCAGACCCTTCCTTAAAAATACAAACAAAACAAAACAAAACAAAACAGGGGCTGGGGAGATAGCTCAGTAGAATAAGCGCGTGCCTGGCAAGCGCAAGGGCCTGAGTTCAATCCCCAGTTCGACAGAAATAAATAAATAAATAAAAAATAAAGCGAAATGAGAATAGGAAAAGGAGGAAAGGTGATGGAACATAGAAAATAGTCAATACAAATCCAAGAAACAGTAGGACAAGCTGCAAGCTCGAATTATTTTACTAGCTGCTTCCTATGTATGGACAAAGCAAGTTTTATTAAAAAGACATAAGCCACACACAGCTGTGAAATACAGCTATTATCCAAGTACATGAATAAATTAGTGTTATTTTACATAAGCCATTTTCTTGTGACTACAGATAAATTCTTATTATACTAAGTGTTGTGGTTTGGGGTTTATGCAAGGAAACAATACAACACAGGACATGTTTTATAAGATTATTTTATAATGAATGATCCAAAGAACCTTATACAAAGAGTACAGAAAATCTTCCCACACACTAACGACCAAAGACTCCGGCTGAGGGCCTGGATCCCATGGTAATATCCTGCATGAGTCCAGCTGAAGACCTAGAGCTCATAACAGTGCCCCCCACAAGCCCAACTGGAGGCCTGGAGCCCATGGCAATGTCTCATGCAGGCCTGCTCCACAGATCCGTGCTGGGAAGGCCCAAAGGTCAGGGGTGGACGCTAGGAGGTCTGTGCCAGCGGGATGAAGGACCTGTGCAGCAGGCTGAGGGGTCTGCACTGGAGCTAGGAAGGAACCAATGCTCAAGGTAAGAGCCAGAGCTCCCCCCAGAAGTACCACAGCCGTCCTCAGGGACAATGAGGTCCTGAGCTCCTGCAGTGATGAGGAAAGCGGAGCTCCCATCAGGAAAGCCAATGTGACACGCTCCTCCAGAAGGCTGAGCAGGGCACCATCCTCCCCTCGGGAGCCAGGAAGTGATGCTAAAGATGAGGCCCAGAGCTCCCCTCAAATGAACTGTAGCCATGCTCAGTGACAACAAGGTCTGAGTTCCACCTTTGACAAGAACAGCCAACTTCATCAGGAAAGCCAGCTTGACAAGGTCCCCCAGCAGAGCAGCCCAGGAGAAGCCACAGCTTCTAACAGCTCCACCAGCCTCTCTGAACAGCTTCGTGAACAGCCTCCCAGCACTTCTCCTGTTCTGCTCTTACACTGCTGGCAACAACCCTCAGGGGGGCCTCCCACACCCAGCACCAGGCTGGTTCAGTTCAGCTGGGGGTAACAAGGAGACCACCAGTTGGTGATCCACCACACTAAGAAACTGCATTAAGTTAGAGATTCCCCAGAACTGGGGGGGCCTGCCCCACCTGGGGCTGGGCAGCTCTGCCTAAGCAGTCCCCTGGTTCCTCATCTCTGAAGTCCTTTGAATTCAACATTTGGAGCCACAGTTACCAAGCTCTTAACCAACACACTGTCTCCTCTCATTTCTCCTCCTTGATCATTAGCTTACGGGACACAGGAACAGTGTCCAGTTCTCCTACTGAGGCTAGTGCCATGATTCCAAATAGTGATGCTCAAAAAAGCACGAATAAATACTACTATGTATTTCACAGGTGTTCATTAATGTTTGGGTTTTCATTTTTTTTTTTCAGAAAAAGGGATTGAACTCAGGCCCTTGTGCTTGCCAGGCAAGTGCTTATTCTACTGAGCTATCTTCCCGGCCCCCGTGAAATTAATTTCCTTTTTTCTTTTTGTGCTGGGGATTGAACTCAGGACCTTATGCTTGCCAGGTAGCCACTTATGCTGCTTAAGTATCTCTCTGATGAAATTCTTTCTTTCTTTCTTTTTTTCTTTCTTTCTTTTTTTTTTTTTTTTTTTTTTGGTATTTCAGGGAAGGGTCTACAGGGTGTTCAGGGTCTTACTACTAGACTGGACTCCATAGTGACTCTCCTGTTTTTTTGGTGGACCCGGGAATTGAACTCAGACCATTGCACTTGCCAGGGAAGCACTTATTCCACTGAGCCATCTCCCCAGCCCTGTGATTCTCCTGTTTGCAGCCTCCCAAGTGCTGGGATTATAGGCGTGCGCCACCATACCCAGTCTCAATTGCTGTCTCCGCACGCCAGGGGGCGGGGCTGGTCTCGACTAAATTGTTAACTTCTTGAGGAAGACCTTTTTAGTCCTGAATTAATTATAAATATAAGATATCTGGGCTAATCTCTAAGATATGTTCAGAGGCTGGGGAGATAGCTCAGTAGAATAAACGCTTGCCTGGCAAGTACAAGGGCCTGAGTTCAGTGCCCGGTTCCACCATAAATAAAAAGATATTTTCAAACTGAGACTATTAGAATAATGACAAGGATGTATCTAACAATGTATGTATGTTTTCTAACCCTTTTACCACTTCCAGTATGTTACTGGGCACAAAGAACTCATGCAATTTTTTTTTTAATGAACTGATTTCAACATAGACATGTTTAGGTGGAGAAAAAACATACAGCGGATTCCTGAAACTTCACATAAATTACTAATGAATTGACTATTATTTAAAATGTACAAGAGAAGTTTTCTATTAAATGGATTTCTAAGATACAGTTTTATAGTATTAAAAATCATTTCATAATGTAATTCCTTAATTCAGTTATTTGCTGAAGTTTTATCTTCTCAAGAGCAAGGTTACTGCTAGGTCAAGCCTTACAGTCCAGGGGTGCTATCACTACAGTTTGGATGTGGCGTGGGTGTGACCCACAGGCTCCAGCTCTTGGAAGCCTGTGCTCAGCGTTAGGAGACGCTGTCATCTCTAGGGTAGCACCTGGCGGAGGGCAAGCAGTCATCTGGGTACTGCTGAGCCCAGAATTAGCGTCTGCAAGACCCTGGTAGTCCCCTTGTCGCAAAGTAGCAAGACCCGCCCCCAGCCCAGCTTCCTGTCTCAGCACACGGGACACCTGCCTGGCGACCCTCCCTCGAGACTGAGCGAATGGAGCTGCTCAGTCTCGGGCTTGTGGCCTCCCAAACTTGAAGCGAATACCAGGTAAACCTCTTGTCCGCACGCACTACGCAGGCTCAGGCCCTTCACAGCAGCCACAGAATAACTAAGGCAAGTACCGAGTGAATGGAGCACCTTCCGAGAGGCGCCCCTCCTCCCCCTCCAGCTTCCTGCGTGGCTCTCCCTGTCTCTCACGTGCGTGTGCAAGTGCACAAGCAAATCATTTTCTTCCTTGTGTTTTAACTCCTATGTCAACTTTTGTAGTCTATGATGTATAAATCTTTTAATTCCAACCCTCTTTCCCACTCCACTCCGTTTATCCATGTGCCTCACCAGTTTTGAAAATAGGTATGCCTTCCATGGTCTCCAGGTCGTCCACAGCACCCAGACTCTCCAGAGCACCCAGACGACTCTCCGGAGCACCCAGACGACTCTCCGGAGCACCTGTCCCTGGCCGGAGCTGTGGTATGAGCATGCTGGAAGGCAGCGCTTCCCCGGCTGAGAAGCAATGGTTGCAGGTCACCTCAGGGTGAGACTCGGAGGAAGACCTGCTCCTTCAGCCTTTTAACTTCTCCGACGATTCTCAGCTTTCCAGGGTTTTTTTTCCCCCCATAAATGTAAATAAGAGAAGTAATGACCATTCTCACTAATATCTTACTTCAAGAAGATTCTAGTTCTTTGACATAAGCAGAGGCTAGGCAGAACACGTAGCTACATATTCTGAGGTTAGGGTGGAAAAGGAGGCAAGTTTTCTTTAGGGTTAGATTTTATCTTACAGGTTTTGGGGTATCAGTTACAATGGAAAGCAAGATTCCCATTGGTGACCCCAGAAAAGTTGGAAGAACTCATGAAGGACAGAGAAATCAATGATCACCTCATGACCTATAGATCTGATTTACTCTCAATTCTTGCTTATCTGTTTAGGGCCTGTTCCTGATCACTAGGCCAATATCTCATCTATACTTGTACAAAAAAAAAAAAGATATGACTCAGGGAAAATATTCTATCACAGTGGGACTAGGACATTTCAGTAATTACACTGGAAAGTGCACATCCTCTATTGAGGTTTCCTGTGAGAGAACCCACTTGGCGATACTGTACTGTGATCAGGACAAAACTGTACCTGTTCCCTGAGGAGTCCTGACTAACCGGCGAGACTGAATCACACACGTGAAAAATTTCAGACGAATTTCTTCCTTATGCATGGCTATTTCCTAGAAATAAAGTCAGAGCTTAATTCAAGTAAGCAGATCTGTGGAATAATTTAAGGCATCAGTGACTGACATGGACCATTTACGCTCACTACTACTAGGTGTCAGGACTTGAGAATATAAAAATACCAATATATGAAATAGTACGCATAATTCACTTTATATATTAGATCCTCTAAAGTCAGCAAATAGTCCCTCCTTCCAAGCTACTGGGAGAAGGGAAAAGGGTGGGGCTTTCAGGGGCCTTCCGTTTTAAGGCCAGCCAGGCTGCAGCCCGCCATCTGGGTCCAGCGTGCCCACTGGGAAGCGTTTCTGTAGGACTTCTGCACACGGCTTACACCAGAGGTCAGCCAAATTGAGAGGCCTGATAAACAGCCTAAATGCACAATTATATTTCTCGCTATTGTTCTTTTGAAAAATCTGACGCAGATTACAGGTTAATGACAATAGTCCCAGTAACAATGGAAGGGACCCATCAAAGGTCAACCTCCAAGTCCCTTTCCTGTCTCTACCCAGAAAAGTAGATCTGCTGGGCCCACAGGAGAACGCTGCCTATATTTCAGCCTCCTCCAGAGTTTTGAGGAGCCTATATGTTGCCAGTCTAATCTAAACTGTCCCTAGATTGCCTTTTCTTTTTCTCTTTTTCAGAATGGTCAGTCAAGAAGACGCGCATAGGACTGCACGCCGAGGGACCTGGCTCCCTAGTTGGACATCTGCTATGCACTTTGTGACTTTGAGAAATGACTTCATTTACCAGAACCAGCTAAGACTAACGAAGTTCCAATAACCTCTAGAAGTACTAACGTTCTGTTTCACAGCAAGCCGCGACGTAGCAGGAGATCGACTTGGGTCTCAGGTGCTTGTCTGGCAGGGAGATCGCAAGTTCCCAGAGATCCAGGGCCACCGCGCAAAGCTGCCATGGAAACCGGGGCGGAAGCAAAAACCACCTGCGGAACCAGAAGGCGGCGGGTAAGGCGTCCGGGGGACACAGAAAAGTGACGGACCAAGCGCACACTAGCAGCGGGGTTAGAGCCGCACTGAAGCGGCGCGCGCGAATTGTGACTACAGCTCTGGACGCCTCCCGAGCTGCCGAGCGTCGCCACGTCGCGCAGGCGTCCCGCCGGGCCTTAACTCTGCTCTTCGACCTTCTGCCCCGCCCCCACCTCGGCAGCCTCCGCGCGCTCTTCCGGCGCTGAAAGGCGGTTCCGGTTCGCGGCGGTTCCCGGGTTTCGCGTTCCGCGCCCGGCCGGAAACACCTTTGCCTGGCAGCCGGTTCCGGTTCGGTGAGTGGCGGCGGGAAGCCGGGGGAGGGGAGAGGATGGAGGGAGCCCGGGCCGGGAGGCCGTGCCGGCCGGAGCCCGCCGGCCGGGGCCGGGCTGCGCGGCC